CCATAGATCGAGACCCAAAAGCACAATATGAAAATAACAATCTCCTGAAATCCAAAAACGATGAAAATTGGAGTGAAAACTCAAGAACTGAATCCGCCATAAACGCACCCTCTGCCGCCTCCTCCCTAAGCCGACGGGAAAGAGTTGATTTGTTGATTTCTCAAGCCCTCTGGAGCTCTAAAGATCCCCAGATAATAGAACTTCACTCAAAAAATCAACCAATTGGAATTAAACACGCCGATCTGACTGCTGAGTCCCTGGAGACCTTCAGAAGATTGGGTTCTGTAAAATCTTTTTCTCCTAATACGGAACACTCCCTTCAATCAACAACCTCAAGGTCAAAAATATCTCAAACTCCTAAAAATAAAAAATTCGATGAAGAATTGATGAAAAATAATTTAAAAATTTTCAGCAGGCGAAATTTCTTCTTGAAAAATCATTATTCATCAAATTCTGGGGGAAATCGAGGTCTTGAGCAAGTCCCTGGACTTGCACAAAATAAAGTCAACAATTTCGTCGGAAAATCTGAGGTCAACGAGTTTTTCAACAACAAATTAGCAGCTGGGAGAAGAGACATATGCGAAGTCAGTAATTTTGATCGCAATAATAGTAATAATGGCAATAATATCGAGATATTCGAGAGAAGAAGCAGAATTAAAATACACAAACGAGTGAAGTCTAGTCACAGAGTGAACGGAAGAAGAATAAGAAAGATCTCATCTTCGAATTTTTTTGATGGGTGTCAGAATAAATTGAAAGTTGAGTTATCGACTTCTGACACTGGAATAATACTCAAAGAAAATCCTTACAAGTCTTCGGAAGACAGAAGAGATGAGCAGAAAATAATTATTGATGAGAAAACCATCGAAAGGCCCCAGAAAACTTCAGTGGATCTGAAACATTGCAGCGAAACACTCGCTGCGAAATCGGAAGAAGGAGTTATCGACCCCGAGCCCCAAAAATACTCGAAACTAGATAGAATCAGAAGTAGATTTGCGTCAGGATCATTTCTTCAGAGACAGGCGAGTGCTAAACCCTCGAAGACAGTCATCCCCACGAGTTCAAGAGCTCGAGCGTTATTCAGACCTTTAGCAGGTATTCAAGAGCCGGAAGTCTCCAAACCAAGAATTCCCATTAAAAAAACGCCAGAGAAATCAAAAACATCCGTTGAAAATCTTCAGAAGCGGCCGGAACGCCAAAAAATCGTTTCGAAGAGTCAAAACGGTTCAAATGCAAGAGGGCGGCCGTCATTTAAACCCCTATCTCCCCAAAGAATCCCCCAATTGCAGAAGCTTAAAGAAGAAAATCCCAAAAAGTCCCAGATTTTGAGGTCGAAGACATTCGTGTCAACTGCAGAAGTCAAGAAAATCGAGAAAAAATCCTCGGAACTTGAAACAAATGCACCAAACTCCATTAAAACTTCGTCCGACTCTCAGGAATCCACAAAAAAATCCAAGAAACAGTCGCAGTCCTTCCGAATGCTCCAAGAAATCCTCTCATTCGAACAAAAGTCCCCCAGAAAACCAAAAAGGACATCCTCTCGAATCCCCACGATAAAATCCTCTCAGAACTCCTTGAAAACGTCAAGAACATTACTAGAAAAGCTAGCGAATATTTCGGACTCTTCGATCCCTTCGACCCCATCAAGCAGGAGCTTCAAGGCCTCGAGAATCCCCTCAAAAATGATCAAGGAATTTCAAAATCTCGAAACCCAAACCCCGAAGACATTAGAAACGTCTCAGAGTCTACAGACTGTTCCTGCGACCAAAGAGCAGGTGACCATGTTCACAGAAACAGAATTTCCCCTTTCTTCGGCTGACGCTGGAGTCTCTTGCGATGATCTTGATCCCCTCCTCTCCCCGCAACCAATTAATAATCCCCAAATCAACATCCATAAAAAATTAGTGAATGTCGAAATCTCTTGCAATTTGAACCCAATTTCCTCGGCTCCAGTCCCTGAAGAAAAGCCAAAAGAAAATTTAAGGAGCGAAATTTCGTCTTCTGTTAAAATCCTCAGGGTCATCGAAACTCAGACATCAAGATCATTATTACTGAGTTATACAGAAGATTGCGGAAGAGATCATAGGGGGGAGAGGAACATTTCGTTGGGGACGAACAAGTTGAAGCTCCCGTGCAAGGAAATAAATACTGATAAACGTATTTTAATAGATTCAGCCACTGGAAAGGATCGATTAGAGATTCAGAATTTCTGTTGTGACGCGCAAATGACGAATACTGATGTTCAGTCGATTTATTCACCAATTAATTACGTAATGAAGAAAGATGCTAATCATCAGGTTGATGCTATCAGGAGTCTGATGAATATTGACGTCGGATTGACGGGGGAATTTGACACGTGTGGGAAGATTGTTTCGTCGATTTCGAGGGAACTTATGACCTCGAGAAGATGTTTGGTCGAGAGTTGTGAGAAGCTCTCGAGTGAATTCATTCGAAAGCAGGAGGAAATTGTGAGAATTCCGAGGGAAGTGATCAGGGCATTCGAAATTGCGGAGGACAGGGCGAGGAATCTGTGTCGAGCACTTGAGATTTATCAGGAGAGTTTGAAGAGGTGCAATGAGAGAAGGATTTTGGGGAAAATTGGTGAGAGGAAGAGCATTAATTCGGAATTTGGAACAAGGAAAGACATTGAAAAATGTGAGAACCTTCAGGGGAAGGGGACAAGGGAGGGACAGGGGTTCATGGAGGAGTTGAAGACATTTTTAATGCATCAGGAAGTCAAGGTTGTGGTGGAGGAGATTCTGAAGGCGGTGGAGAGAAAAGTGTCTTTGAAGGGTTTCGGAAAGAACGAAAGTAGTTCGTGTAGAATTGAGAATTCCTCGGCCGAAGTTCTCGTGAACAGAGGGAATATTCTGCCGATTATCTATGGAGCGCTGTGCTCCCTTGTCTTCTGGTCTCTGCAGTTTTCTATGAGCTGTGATTTGTCATGATTTCCATTTTCTTGTAATCAATGGATGAATAAATGAAGTTTACAGGAATGATTCTTGGGGTGGAGTGGAAAACTGAGATGAGCCAATTTTTCCTATGACTGTTTTTGGAGAATACTCCGGATCGAAGGGAAATCAAGAAATTCTTTTAGCTCTCTTATTTTTCTGCAGGGAAGTATGTTGAAGAAACTCTGCTATGTTAGGTGGATTAGGAACTATTTCGAAAGAGTCTGGGAGAGTCAGGAGTTGAGTTGATTCATCTCGTTTTGTTATTTCACTAGATTTATTTTCCAAGACATTAATTAGTTACTAAGGGGAGGTTCACCCCGGCAACAACCTTTTTCGTTTTTCGAGCAAAAAATATTAAAAATTGTATTTGCCGCGTGATTTTTCCTCAGAAATCCGATTTAGGGGTGAAATTTGTCTGTGACCGCTAAAAATTGGAGATGTAGTGACTCGCTACATCGGAACACAAGGGCCTGCGTTACACACATACAATACGTTGCGCGTTACTTTTATAATATTTCTTCCGAATCTGAATACGAATTCAGTCTGGCGCTAACCGCCAAATACTCAGCAAATCGACCAGCCGACTTCTACGTAACATCTTCACTTCTGTATGTGTGGACGTCCACATGAAAAGGGACCACTTTGTCGATTCTAGTTTCCGAGATATTCACGTTTTTGTGTCAGCAACTCCGATTTGCACCAATCTTAAATTGTTTTTTCTATCTTCTCCAACGACGTCATTTTTAACTCTATGAAGGTCATTTTTGCCTCAAAATGTGCGGAATGTTATCAATATTATCAGAGTATACATAACACCATATCGACAAAGTGGTCCCTTTTCATGCGGACGTCCACATATATATTCTTTAACGTCTTGTAAATATATTGTGATTAATTAACGTAATCGCATTTGTTAGTGAATTGAATCTTCCCACAACAACCTCAATTCCTACAGAGATTCATTTTTTTACCGAAAACTAAACTTTTAAAAAAATTCCCAAGGGATTTTTCAAAAATATTTTTTTGAACATAATCCCAACTGTTCATTCTTTAATTTCGAAAAATGCGAGAGAAGATACATTTGTAAGTTTATTCATTAACCAAAAAAGTTATTTTCAATAATCGATTATATTCTCAAAATTTTCTATGAGTAGCAATTAGAATGAGTCAATGTCTACAAAAAGGGTGGAAAATTAATGGAAACTATACGAAAAAAAAAGCACCTATCCTAATTTTAGGCAGGAAGTGCCATGGCAAAATCTGAATTTTGAAAGGACCCCTTTCAACTATAGAGAAAGTAACAAAAATTGTCTAATTTTTTTGTTGAGACATTAATATAAATTTTAATACACGAATAAATTTCAAAATGCATCTTCTCCCGTCTTTTTTATAATTCAAAAATTTGAAGCATAAATTTGTGATCATATTCAAAGAACTATTAAAAAAAAATACGGTGGGGATTTTTGTTGAGTTAACCTTGCGTTTAACAAAAAATTGAATCCCTAATTTTGAATGGCCGGGGGCAATTTTGACCGACAAATTCAGAATCCTGAGAAAAGTTTTTTCGCGGTTTCAATTTCTTCTTAATGCGAAATGAAGATTTCCAAAAGGAAATTTATAATAATGTCAGTATTTCGTGATAAAATATTCTTTTCAAAAAAATGCCACATCATCATTTTATCAATGGTTTCTGCATCTAGACGAGTTAAAAAGTCATATAAAATAAGTGTTTTTCTGTCTCATATTATGTCAATCTTTGGTAAAATATGTCAAAGCTATGGCCTATTTCAAGAGTTGTAAATCTTTGATGAATTGCTGGCATATTTTGACGTAAAATTGCCATTTTTTATTTACAGAATGAAATTGCTACGGATCCATTCGGAAGTTTATTTCCATCAAAATTGCTAAAAATAAAAAAAGGAAAAGGCTAATAACGCATAAAATAACGGCCAAATGTCTCCAGTCAGATAGACTTCGTCCTCTGTTTGTTTTTGTTTTTCATTACGAAATGCAAGGAAAACATTAGGGAAAATAAATATCGATTGATAGTTTCTTGAATAATTTTTTAGATTTATTTATAGCATTCATGGAAAACAACATTTGCCATGAAAGTTTAATATCACTGGTATGAAACAATCTACGAGCTATCAAAATAAGTACTGTGGAAAAATCTTGTAACAATTTGAGACTCTCAGATTTTTAAAATTTTCTTTCATTTCTCAATTATGCTTCGTCGACGTCTACAGCTACCGCTCCGGTGACGTCCACAAGCTGTCTCGATGTGAATGTCGCAATGATTTTCTGTTGTCCTGCCTTCTGCGGCACCAATTGATGTTCAACCCTAACGTCCTCGAGTGGGCCGACGTCCCTGAATTTAATTGTTTTGTTTTTGGATAGACCTGGTCCAGCGTAGTTGAACACACATTCGGTCAGATAGAGGTTCAACGGGTTTGTGAAGCTCAGGGTGATTGTGGATGGCTGTCCAACTACAGGATCTCCCTCAATCTAAAATTGTTAACAAATTTCAATAAATTATTAATCTCTTGTCTGGAGAATGAGAATACTTCAAACCCTTTGCAGAGGAAAGGGTCTGAAGTACAGGACGAATTTATAAAATTGTCCAACTGAAAATTTATAACATATTTATGCAATTTATAAATTGAAGGAATTTATAAAATTGTCTATTATAAATTATTGTGTAGAACAATTTTACACCAGGCATAAATTTATCCTGACGATTTATTTGGCTAACAAGGCTTGGTGCAACCGGCCCTAAAACTTTTTTGTTCTATGCTTGTTTTGGGGATTATCCAAAACTGTCAGGTTTGGGCGAAAATGAAAAGAGAAATCTCTCATAAAAAGTAACTTCTTGAGAAAATATTTACTAAATGCTTTATAAAACAAAAGGACTGATTATTCGTCTAATTTTTTAAAAACTACTAGTTTCAGAGAGGAAAGTTGAAAAGTTTTCTCACACCAGATGACCACATGTTACAGAAAGGCGTTTCGAACATTTCGTCGTAACATTGCTCATGATTGGAAAAATAAATTCTATTTCTTTCCTCTTCTTTTTCTACTGCCTTAAGGAATTATTGTACGTTTTACTGAGTAAATTACTACAACTCCAATCGTAAATCTTATCAATCAATTACTAATCAAACAATAGATAAAACCAATAAGGAAAATTCCTTCGCGAAATTAACATTCTATTTTTATTATACACTTCGTCAGACAAGAATCAATAAATACTCTTCCCCGGATAAGTGAAAAAAGGATGAGAGCACATTTCCACGCAAATGATTTGCGGAAATCTCTAAAACCATTAGGTTTAAGGACCGGGTGTACTATCTTTTGAATGTTATTTGGATTTTTTTTTATCTTTCGTAATCCAAAATTGTCAATTGAGTGGTACATCATGTAGAAATTCCCAAAAATTAGGATAGAATGATAAACAAGCAGGGTTGTAAGCCTTTTTGACAGAAGCCATGTGACATTTACTTTTTTTTTTCTACCAATTCCATTTAATAAGCTTCCGAATGGATCCGTACAATTTGGCAGATGATAACTACTCAAAAAGCTATTCATATTGGTAAGGGGAATAAACCACACCGACCTCTGATTCTGTCAGAGCTATACAATTTCATCCTGTAATGTCATAAGATCTACAATTTTACCAAATTTTAACTTCTACCTCTGTCATAGCTATGACATTTCATTAAATACAAAATACCATAAATTGTTGTTATGCCTTTTTAAGCCATACAGAGCTGAAAATCATTGATAAAATGACGATGTGTAATTTTTTAGAAAAAAAGATTTTTGGATAAATTGTTCTATGCCCGGATGTACTAAATCGATTAACACAAAATTTTATACATAACTGTGGGCTCATAATACAAATTAGTACACAAAATCTCAGATATCTAGTCCAAGTTTTACGCGTATTATGGACATCACATTAACTTTAAAATGAAAAAATTAGAAAAACGCTGATATCTCAAAAAAAAAGTGAATCGCCCCAGTAGTTCAGGAGATAATGGAGTGAACAATACACTTCTGTAGTATCATACGATCTATAGTCAGACCAAATTTCAACTTCCTATCTTTAATTTTCAGGGACTTATCGTGTTCACAACATTTTTTCAACAAAAATGAAAAATGTCGATTATTATTAAACTGACCCTAGTTACGGTAGCAATATTATGATTTGTTTGGATAGATATTATCGTAAGGAATACTTTCCCGCCAAAAAACTTGAATTCGGTCGCATAGTTTTTGAGAGATTTAAGAAAAAAGGTTTTTGAGAAATTGCTATATCTCGGAAACTACTGGGCCGATTGAGCTGAACTTGCGCCCACAAATGCTCCAAAGGAATATCAATTATACGACAAAATTTCAGAGTTTTAGCTCAAACTTTAGTCCTTTTTTTGGGGGGATTTATAAAAAATTTCCGAAAAATCGGTATACACATTCGGACATACATACACACATTTTCTAAAAACATCATATTTTCACGTTTCATGATATTCTACATCATTTCCAAGCAAAATTACGAGATCGTAAAAATGACGGGTCACAAGGCTTCCATTCGGAAGCAAAAAAAATAGAAAAAATTCCGAACTTTTTCAAAGAGCGTTATTAATTGAGATTCAGAATGAGTTGAAAAAAATGAACACAGCGAAAAACAGATATACATGTTAGTGCGGTTTGAATTTATTTATTGGATGAAACCATAGTTTATTTGAAAAAATTCTCTAGCGGATATTTTCGGGGATATTTTTGTATGCGGATATATTTTCAGCGGATAAAAATGTCATAGGATAATTTTGCCCGCGGATATTTTTTTCAGGATATTTTGACGCGGATCTTATTGTTGCGGATATTTTGACATGGAACCTTTTGATGAGTATATCTAAACCTTTATTAATGTAAGTTGGAAATTCTTTTAATATTGAAGAATAGTAATATTGATGGCCATCCCTGTTGCCGGTCTGATTTCTATTTTTCTTCTTTCAAAGGGTTCGTCTTTTTGCAATTTACCTCAACTTTAATTGTTGGTTTGATAACCTGGAAGTCGTCCTCATCCGCCCACGTCTGATTAGTCTCCTGAACAACGGCGATGGCATACAACTTCATATTCGCGTACTCCACTAATTTGTCTAAATACTCCTCCACCGTGCACCTGAGCTGCAATGATCTCCTCTCTGCTGCTTCAAGTTCGAATTCCCCCTCAGCCCTCTTAATCTGATGGGCCTTGACTCCATTGTAATAAACACTTCCAGCTGACAAAACAACTTTGACTGTCCTCCTCTCCTCGGATTTATTCTCAATGTCAATGCGGATGGTGAAAGGATCCCCGATGTTGACACGATCAAGATCGACGAGTTTGAATTCAACGTCTTCTACTACTTGCTCACCTCCAGCGTAAGCCCTCTTCGCTGATGGAATACTCCGAACTGCTCTGTATAAGGTCAGGCGTTCAGCTCGAGTTCCTTCAAATAATTTTTATATTTGACTTTTGTGGATCATTTCACCTCGACAGATTGTAATTTTGGATAAAAATAATGCGACTGCAGCCAACAAGAATTTTGTTTTCAAAGAAATGTACTATTATCATGTGAAATGGCTATGATGAATAAAACAGTTTTTTACGTATGTTCCTATAACTCACATTTCTGGAGATGTTATCATTCTATTGAGCAAGTTGTGGTGATACGACTTATCACCTGGACGATATTTCAACTGTGACATTTTAACTAAAATCTATCAACTGCGACATTTCAACTGCGACATTGCAACTAAAATTTTTCTGCTTCAACAATTCAAATGTATTTGGGAAAAATATTTACTGCCGTTTTTAAAATATCTTTAACAAGACTTCTTCAATTTGTTGGCATACACTCGGATGATAACCGAATGAGCTAAGAAGGATGCAACAGGTGTTTTCTGCATGTGTTGCTCTTGTATAGTTTTTCCGTATCGCTCTATCAACCAAATCACCAAAATAAATACAGAAGGAAAACAGGAAGGGATAATCATCACGAAGCTATTTGATAGTAATTAAGTCGGATAGAATTTTGCACACAGTGAACATCAGATAATCGTGATGCCTCTCATATTTACAACTACATATCAGCAAAGGAAGCAAGCGGATGAGAATTTCATTTATGAAAAGCACTCGAAGAACTCACTCCCATAAAAACCAGATGTTTTGCAACCGCGAGTATCGGTAGATTAATTTAATTTGGGCTTATTGATTGTTTAGTTCAAGTATTTATGTGTTTTTTTGGAAATTCAAATAATAAATATAGAATTCAGTAGTGAAGTGGTAAACGGAGATAAGTCGACTTATCTCCCAGTTGAGTTTTTGAGGAATATTTCCGAATCTAAGGGAGATAGCGAAGTTTTCGCAACCGGCTCCACAAAAAATGTTATAACAAAAATTTTGCTATCTCCCTTAGATTCTGAGATATTGACTGAAAACTGGTCAATAGTAAACATTGACTTATCTCCTTTTACCACTTCGCTACTGCATTATGTTCACCGCTATATTATTGTTAATTTTTTGTCTACAAGTAGTTGTTTAAAACCCAGCTCAAGTGTCGTAGTTAAAAAATCCCAGTGGATTTGTCAGTTTAAATGTCGTAGTGGAAAAATCTCAGTTGAAATGTCCGAGTTGATATGTCGCCCAGTTAATAACTAGTAGAACCCAAGTAGTGTAAGACTTTTAGTCTCTGAGAAAACGTGTGCTCTTATCCACAAACATTCACATCGTGAGAAGTACGATTTACACATATGTGGGTTGAAAATACTTTTATTTCGCTGGTAAAAATTTTAGGATAAAATTTCTGGTATACCTTTTGAAAATTTTTTAACGAGTAACAGTTCCACCGGAACATCAAAGGATTTCGTCATTGAAAATTTGCAATATAATGAAAAAATCAATGGAAAGTGTCGGTTTTTGTTCAATTACTTTACGAATATTGATAGAATGCAGGTAAATGTATTCATGAAGTTTCAATCGATTGAAAATTCAGGGTAATTTGGTACTGAATATTAATGTTTTTATTGAAAATTCAACTAAGTTGAGAAATGCTCGTCTTCTTGAGATTTTGTGATTTTCCTTCCCTAAAATTTGGATATCGCGAGACAGCATATTTACACATGAAGATGTGAAGGTTTATATTAAGAGAGAGAAGAGTTATTTTAATTATTCACAATACCTTCAGGCGCTTTATACTCATGTGTGATGTCTTCCCTGTCTCTGTCTCCGTTGGGATCGAAGATCCATGGTTTCTTCGTCAATATCATGCGTCCAATACTGTAAGAAAATTGTATACTGTGTTACTAGTGCGTAAAGATCGACTTTTTCACAACACATTGTGACAGGAGACATTGTTTTTCCTTTCTCGTCGATACAATTTTCCCTCGTCCTCGGGGATCTCGTAAATTGCCGTATGAGATATTAGCCATAAATTCATTGTCGAATTTGAATTACAACGCCATATTGGAATCTAGATGATATTTAGGACGCAATCACCAAATTATTGATTTTCTGTCACGCAACAAGTTGCCTAAGGCCCATCGTATTACTCTTCGCCCGGCACCGAAACTGTGTGGTAAGACTCGATACCCGAGAACGTTTAGAAACTTCAGTAATAAATTGACTGAATTGTCGACATAACAAGTGAGTAATTATTAATTCAAAGTGTTCTTGCCTATAATTTATTCCTCTCTCTCTCTCTCTCGCTCTGTCAATTTTTATTACTTTCAACATCCATTCCCAGAGGTAAGTCGGGAAAACGTTGTTAGTTGTCGAAAAACTAACTGGCGCCCAGTGAACTAATTATTTTGTCGAATTGAATTATGAAAAAGACTTTTCTTGAGTCTGGCAGCCCTTGACCCAGGCCGCGCCAGGTGTAGGCCTTCAGCCAATTCATTTATTGCAGTGAAATTTATATTAATCCAGTCGAATATTTATTATAAAATAAAAGGCCTGTCTCAACATCCTATTTTTTGTGATACCTGCCGAATTCACTTTACATAACGGCTAGGAAAACAACGTTTTACGCACACAAAACCGTTTCGAAAAATACACTTTTAAGGCAGGTATCACAAAAAAAAATATTTTGACCCATCAGAGGTGTTTGGGGCTCGCCAGAAGTGAGTGCTATCCTCCCAGGGGTCAAACAACACTTTTCACACGAGTGTCAAACTCTATTTTTCATCACAATGTGTGGAAAGGGTAATTTTGTGCACTTTACGGGCAAGTAATGAAAAAAATGTTTGAACGTTCTAAAAATGAGATTAAAATATTTACTGTTGAGTGTTTGTATCGATTTTTCTCCACCCAATGATGGAATTGGGATCTTGAAGCCACCTGATCTGATCAGCATTGACACTGGCAATCAGAAAAGGAATGTCATAGTTGCACCCAGTGACACCCTGTCTGATAGCCTCGACAGAAGCTGGTCCACACCGATACAATCCTTCGGACTGTTCTTGAGGGGTTCCATCGATAGCCTGCCATCCTCCGTAGCCCCTGGGGAGGTCGGGTCGAGACATCCAGACGTCGTTCCACACGTGGTAGTTCCAGATGGAGTCAGCGGGTCCTCCCGTCTCCGGATCCATGTCCAAGCGGTTCATATCGGTGTCGAAGTAGACGTCTAGGGAGAGGGAACCGTTGGCGTCGTGCGCTGAAACGACGTTTGTGACGACTCGGGAGGGCAGCCCCAGGGCGCGACAGATCGTCGTGACGACCCCTGCGAACACCCAGCACTGGCCGTATTTCACTCGCTCCCCACCGGTTTCCAGGTACTGTTCCAGAATGGGAATGCTACCGGTCCAGGCTGAGGGAGAGATGCCATCGTCGTACGGGGGTGACCAGTTACCCTCGAGAATACCGTCGTACACGTATTTCCCGTCTACGACGTTGAAGGCATTTGCCTGAGGGAATTTTAGAGTTATTCAGGAGGTGGACAACATATTAACCCATGAATTAATCAATCATGATCGAACTTGGTCGAGATCCCGTGAATAAATCATGGTCTCCAATAAGTCTCCAAAAGGTCCCGATCGAGTCTTGATGCAGTCTCACATGTTTCTGGTACCTTGAGAAGTCTAAACTCGAATATTTCCAGCAGAAAAATGAAAAGTCTCATGCCCCAAGACGTTTACGCTACTTCGTGCGCCGGAATGTTCAAAGTCTCTCAATAGAAGACTTTACATTACGTGGATAATAATTGGTCACGAGATTTTTTTGAGGTCATCGGACTTTTTTTTCTCATACTCCCCTGACTACCCCCGATTAATTTCCTCCCCTAGGGGCGATGATCTAATTTTTTAGTAGCTCAAACCAAAAATGGCTTCATCAAATATGTTTGGTTTCGTGGGGTTCGAAAATTCAATTTTTAAGGAGGAGAATTTTTTTTTAATCTTATACTTTTTGTCACCTTCTCTGTCTATACCCCAATCACTGTCATACTCTATACGTTCCACGGAAACAGACGCATTTTTATAATTTAATATTACAACAAATCTCACGTTGGAGGAATTTCTCTGTTGTCCTGTCCGTTTTTCTCATCTCTACATTCCGTAATAATGTTGTAGATTGATATATAAATTCACCCAGGATAATATCGGAATGTATTGATTGTCTAATTGTCCACGTAACGTAAAGTCTTCCATCGAGAGGCTTTGAACATTTCGCGCACGAAGTACCGTAAAAGTCTTGGGGCATGAGACTTTTCATTTTTCTGAGGGAAATATTCGATTTTAGACTTCTGAAGGTGCCAGAAACATGTGAGACTGCATCAAGACTCGATCGAGACGTTTTGGAGACTCATTGGAGACCCCGATTTTCACACGGCATGGCATTGGGAAGAATATTTTAAATCACAATTGGATTCGCTTAGACAATTTTTGTTTCCGAATAAAAGCATTGTAATCGTCCAATTTTCACATTCTCTAATTTTTATTGGAAATGATGTAGAAGGGTCTGAAACGTAAAAATACGACGCATGTCCACCGCCACCTTCCCGGTGATGAATTTTTCGAAAATTCGGTAATTAAGTGGCCAAAGTAATTCCGAAAAATCTGAAATTTTGCCGTTGTTTGCTTTTGTCATTGAACTTCTGAGCGAGTACTTTACTCGCCCAACACTGCTGACATCCGACAACTTTTACTTGTTAAAATTTATTCCCCCTCACAGTGAGTGTCACGTAAATGGCGAAATTTGCACTCACCATTTTCGAAATAGTACGTGAAACCTTGATGGGATCTCCGCGCTGTTCTGTCTTGATATTCGACTTCTCGAACATCAGCATGCAAGCGGGAAGAATTGCCTTGTCGAATTGACCGAATATCCATTCACGTCCACGTGCACTGCCGTGGGGCCCTATCCAGATCTTTCCAATGTCGTTCAGAATATACTCGTCCAGACGTGTTTCTGGTTCCATATAAACCATATCCTCTAAACAAATAAATTTCGAATTGTTCTATAATTTCCTCGGAAGGGAATTTTCCGACGGTTTCTTCAAACATGATGTTTCAAATTCATTCAATTATGCGTGGAAAAAGTTTTTCTAATACCGTTTTGCCAACGTTTCAAGATAATATAGACAGCATCGATTGTTTCATTTGATTTATATAAGAATTTTCACAAGAAATCTAACACAATTAATGAAAGAAGAAATATAATTGAATTGAACAAAATAAAATGAAATGACAAATGCATTCCATGACTAATAAACACAAACACATTTGAACACGATAATTGAACACACAACAATTCATAACACAGACAACTGAAGATAAATGAATCGAACACAAAACCTATTCAAGACAGGGCAAATTCAACATATATTAACCCCAGGCTGGTCACCAAACACGACCCTGCGGCTTTGGTCACTTCCACGGGGATTCCCCGCCGTGTTATTTAGGCTTCAGTGTTGCCAAATTCACTCTACACTTCCCGGGCGCGTTTATCAAGTTTCCGGCAACGTCGCGTCATGGGCAATTTCATTTAACATGAACCAAAATAATTCACCTGTCCGAAATAATTTGTTTTACTTAGAAATTGTATGTTGTTCCATGTTTTTCGATGTTGTTCTTAATGTTTTTCATATGTTGTTCTAAAAACTACGATAATTTTTTAGACAGTTCAATTGGCAAAGTCAATTTATTTTGAATTTTTCCGGTTAGCCAGTCAATTGTGTTGAATTTGTTCTGTGTTGAATAGGTTTTATGTTCAATTTATTTGTGTTCAGTTGTCTGTGTGATGAATTGATGTGTTCACATCGAGCTACTATGTGGTGATTAGTCCTGTTACCGACAAATGTTATACGATAGAAGAAGATGATTTACAAAATGACTAATTTATTAGTCAAAACAGTGTTAAGGGTGATTACCCCCGCGGAATCCCCGAATTCAGAAGCTCATACCTTTAATCCAAGGATTGAAGAGCAAATAAATATCCTTTTCATAGTGAAAGGTATTAGGAGGTTGTCTACTCCCAAGAGTAGTGGTCTCCACATTCAGCTGCCAGACACCAACAGGGCTGTCCACAGGGCTCCTAGCCTCCACCATAAGATCAGTGTCAGTGTTCCCCACCATCCTCACCCCCCAGGCCTCCAAGTCCAAGAGGGCAGACTCCCTAGGTTTCACCTCATTGATCCCCCTCGTCCCCTTGAAAACACTCGCATTGGGGCCAAAGCTGAAGAGCAGTCGCACAATGTCTGTCTCTTCCACATACTCTCGATTGAATCTCACAGCGAGACTGAACTCCTGGCCTCTACGGAGAACTGGCGTTGGATTCTCCTCGTGAACCAATTCGAATCGATCTGTGTGATGCAGCTCAGCGTTCTCCCTCTCGTACATGTAGATCGCTTCCACAATCAGAGGCTCCGACGATCCCATCTGGAAGGAGTTAGAGGTGCATTAGAGTTTTATGAATAGAGTCTGTGTTGGGAGACCTTGAGGTGAAGATTTATTGGCTTCAGTAGTTTATTCATTAGTGGAAGAATACCAAAAGGTTTTTATAAGTGGGCATTTACATGATTTTACATGATTTCTTGGAGATGAAGTCATGGAGAATTTCTTTGGTTTGAGAAATGGCATTTCATTCTAATTCTACTTCTATGTAAGAGCTATCGAACTAGGTCAATTACATGGCCTAAATTATATACAATACATTTAACATGAAATTATTTGAAATTCAAGCGTGGAAATTTTTAATGCCGTGAATTGCAATTAAATTCCTCTTCTAAATTCAATAAAATTGACTTTTCAATAGATTGTGAATTCAGAATAATGGTTGCCCGAAATTTTCACAGTTCTCAATCATTTTCGTTATGGATTGGATTGTTTATTTACTATACTTAAATCCTTGTTCTTCGAACAAGTAAACAAGTTTATTCATTTGTAACAAAAATATTCTTGAAATAAATGAAAAATTTCAAATAACATTTTTTGTTTTATTGAAAAAAATATTTTTTTCTGGGTGTACTTCACGAACGCACGAATATTTTGCATCTCCTTAGTCATCAGTTAATTGCTCTAAACTGTACCATTTCATCATTCTCTTATTTATTTTCTCTATCCTCACCCGGTAAAATCAAGACATTATCATCAAACAAAAAAACTTGGAGAATTTGAGACGAGAAATTTCTATAGAAAATATCTCAATAGACCAGTCATCAATTAACTTTATTGATTTTTTCTTTAAAATATTTGCTATTGAAAATTCCCTTGAAGAAAAAAAATTTTGCAGAAAAGCAGCAGAATTTTTGAAGAGAATCGGTGAAAAACGAATCGAATTTTCAAAAGAACTTCAGGTAAATATATAGAAGAAATATAATTGAATTGAACAAAATAAAATGAAATGACAAATGCATTCCATGACTAATAAACACAAACACATTTGAACACGATAATTGAACACACAACAATTCATAACACAGACAACTGAAGATAAATGAATCGAACACAAAACCTATTCAAGACAGGGCAAATTCAACATATATTAACCCCAGGAACTTCAATAAAAGTCGAATAGAATTTGATTCGAAATTGGCTAGATTTTTCTATAAAATAGCCTCATGCGTGGAACAATATACTTCATACCTTTTATATCTCATCAATAACAGAAATCAAATGACATATTAACTCTGCTCCTTACAAAATAAATTCCCTCATGTTCAATTCTTCCAAATGATTCATAACTGTCAACCAAAAATGATAAACTCCATTCCAACAATTTAATCACAACAACACGAGATCTATTTCAAAACCGAATCGTCAATAAATCTTTTCATATGAGTTATTCCTCCTCTCATATGAAATTGGGGGCAATGTCAGTAATGCATCCGTTTTGATTCATCGATGACTACTATTGCGCAAACGAAAAAGCCGTTGGTGTATTCCCTCGAGTGCGTGAGAAATCCGTGTGCAATAGCTGTCTCTCCGAATGGGCCTGCTGTGAATCACTCATTGGCTTCTCAAGCACGCGAGGTAACATCATATTTTTAAAAATCCTGTATACCGTTCATCAATAACTCCGCTGATTCGTCAATAGCTACTTGTTGAATTCTGAATGTTGTATTATGTAAAGATAAATAATGATGGGAATGACAGATTAACAGAGATTTTTTTATTTGCATTTAGCATAATTTATTCATTGATTCGCAATCGGAGATGTAGAGAATTCTGCAGTAATGAAAATGTCAGTTTATGATAACGATTCCGTTATTAATGACAATTCACATCTTCATCAATTTTTCAATTCAATTTTTCATGTAATTTGTAAATTACAAGGAAATTGACGAAATGGGATGAGTGCACATCATGAAATGATAAGAATCTCTGTTCACACGAAACCAGAAGTATCTTTGTCGTTCTCAATTTTCTTCCTGATGGAGGAAATTATTTTCTTCATCTCAATCACAATGTCCACCCACTAATTCGCACTCTTAAAAAATTTAGTCTGAAATTTCAGATGGACTTATTAGAAATTTCTATCATGTGACAGTTTTACTGAAGGAATTTCTTGATTGAAAAGTCACAATTTGATGAAGAAATCAATGGAAACCGTTAATTTCAGTTCAATTATTACATGAAAATTACTGAAAATTGGGAAAATTCACTTAATTGAAAATTTATCATAATCTTGTATTGAATATTCATGTTTTAGTTGGACTTTCAAGTTGAGGAAATCCCGTTTTTCCGCTGTGCAAAAATTTGAAAACAAATAGAAATTTTATAACATCTTCTCCTAAATTAAATTTAATGTTGCTCTATTGAAAATTAGTGCCAAACTCCCCATGAAGTTTTCATTTTTTCCCAACAGTGCAGAATAGTATTGAGGAATTGAATAATTTCCCGTACACTCCAAATTCAAACTCGAAACTTTAAGGAATTCCCTCATTGAAAATACACAATTTGATAGAGAAATAACGGCAAACTGTAAATTTCAGTTCAATTATTCCATCAAAATTAATAGAACTGAAAAAAGTTCAGGTACATACATCTGTGAATTTTCAATTGAAAATGATTTGATACTGAATATTCAAGTGTTAAATGGAAATTCAAATAAATTGATTTTCAGGAATTTATTTTCAGTAATTGATTTTCAAGAATTCATCTCCAATTATTAGGGATTTGCAATTGTGAAATTTAGTGATTGAAAAATTTGGAAATTCAGTAATTTTGTTACCAGTTTTTAGTGATATTATCAGTAATTTTCAGTAACATCGCCACTAATTTCCATTTATGATTTTCAGATTAATATCACTGATTTTTAGAGACCCATCTTCAATTTTTGGGAATCTTCGTGCATAAAGTTTCCCTTTACGCACTCAAAATTCACTTGCGCACGATCGTGAACTTTACGCACGCCGTGCGAAAAACAACCGTACGTTCGTGAACTTTAGGCACACTAAACCGTTTCGAAAAGTGCACTTTTGATGCAGATATCACAAAATAGCTATTTGTCACAAAGCCGAAAAAAAACTTTTTCATCACGCTGTGACGAAAAGTGAACTTTTCGGCCCGCTCCGCATGCCTAAAAGTTCAATTTCCGCCACATTGTGATGAAAAATATTGTTCGTAACTCGTGAAAAAATGTTTTTTGCACTCGTTACGAAATATACTATTTTGACGAATGTGAGGGTTGCAGTCAGGATGCAATCACACGAGTCAGAATAGTATATTTCGTAACGAGTCCAAAAAAAATTTTTCACGAGCTACGAACAATATTTTTCATCACAATATGGCGGAAATTGGACTTTTAGGCACGCGGAGCGTGCCGAAAAGTTCACTTTTCGTCACAGCGTGATGAAAAAGTTATTTTTGACCAAGTGACGAACATAATTTTTCCGTACTGCTTCTCACTTTTCCCAGTCCGGGGATTGGTATTGACCCTTCCCCAAACTGGTAAAAGTGAAAATCACTACGGGAAAATATCGTTCGCGTCTAGTGCCACAGGGATTTTCAGCTCGTGCGATTGGCGCGCCGAGTCGAAGGCGACACGAACCGAAAACACCAGTGGCACTCGACACGAAATATACTAATTAATTTTAATTTTTAACGAAATTTATTGTAAGAAAAATAAAAAAATAAATAAATTTCTTACAATAGGCCATCGCCCGAGGGCCTTCAGACAAGTATTTACATATGGGCATAAGTTTCCGTTCTATTTTTGATGGTGTAGTTGGAGTCCAATGAGGTGAAGATGATACATTAATTGTTCGAGTGAATGGATGAAGATACGGAGAATCTTGGAAGATATAGAAAATAGTTGGTTATTCCAGCGCTACTCCTCCCCAGGCGTCAGTACCGTAATGATCTCTATGAATTGATTGTAAATTTTCGAGGGTGAAATATACTATTTCTTCACAATGACCGTAACCGGCGTTTGATGGACACTTCGTGTCCCTAAAAAGTCGTTGTGCAGACAGTTTCATCAGAAATAGTATGTTTCGTCATTGGGCTGAAGAAAACTTTTCTGGCGAATATGAGATTGCAGCCCGAGCCGAAGGCGAGGGTATTAACTATTAAGTCTATTTGATGTTACAAGAAAGGGTAACGGAGGTGATCTTTGTACCCCTGTGGCCCCCTGGGACCTTTAGGGTCATAAGGGCCATAAGGGTCACAAGGTACAACAAGATACAATAAGGTTACGAGGGTCAAAAGGATCAAACTCCCTTACTTGATTATTTGATTATAAGTTGGTTTTTTTTTGCATGAAATAATTATGCAAAAATTGTGTGGTGATCTTCTAAAAATGATAGTTGCTATCTAATCTAGCTTTGGACGCTATACCATTCTGCTGATTAAGTGGTTGTTCACGTTGAAGAATTTAATGTTCACGAATGAAAAAAATTAATAAAGTCTGACGCATTCGCTAGAAAATTCTATTAAGAATTATTTTTTCCAATCTTTATTGGAAATGAAGTAATGTTGCAGCGAAAGTTTTCAATAGACATTTCATAGAAAAAAATCGTGTTCGATTAGAATTTTTGCTCATGCGTTTCCTAATAATACGGATTTTCCCCTCGATTTTGTAACGAGTAACAACAAAATACAGCCGACAGAACTTGGAAAATTTATGCTTAAGAATTTCTATGCAAAAAATCTCAAGAGTCATACACGTGAATTAAAATCTATTGACTTTTTCGATCAAATATCTTTCAAAAAGTCTGCGAAATTTGCAATAATTGCAATAAAAATCGGCATGAAATGCAGTTTCCTAGCGAATGCACTAGACTGTTCTAATAATTTTTTTCATATGTGTTTCGATTGATGATTTGAAGTGCTTTTTACGATGATGGTAAAGTTATTGAGTAATTTGATGAATGACTGACCTTGATTTCTTTTTCTGTCTAGATGATAAAAACCTAGAGAATTATTAAGTTGACGGACAGAAGTGATTGTCGAACTAACCGCACTGGTTGCGTATATTCGCTTTATATGAGCCGGCATGCAGCTCCTGTGGAGAGACCACAAAATCCCCCACTCGGTGGATCCTTGGTGATGATGATGACGGGGGCAGCCCCAGCGATAACACATACGTGATCATGGATTTCGTTGGGAGAATCATAAATTTTTCAACTTTGCGAGGTTTTGAAGGCGCCGGTTACTCTCTACTGTTTTGGGCATTGGAGACTTGAATTTCCAGTGGTAAATAAAATCGAATGAATCATTTTATTTAAAATGACAAGTGTTTCTTGCAGTGTTATTCTAGGTGGTTTTCATTCACTAGAACAGCACACACGAAAAAATTTAACAGAAAAACCTATCGAATTCGTTAGAAAATTCTATTAAATTTCTTATCAAAATTTCTATTAGTTTTTGGCTAATTCTAGTGACATGTTTAGTAGAAAACATTTAATAGAAAAAGTCAACAGAATTCGATTTTTCTATATAACTTATTCTTTTCATATATTTTCTATAGAATTTGCTCGAGTCGAATTTTCTAAGTTTTTTCCATTCTATTTTTATTTTCTTCTCATCAAGAAAATCAAACGAAAAAACTTAGAAAGTTTGAGTCGAGGAAATTCAATAGAATTTTCTAACGAATTCAATAGGTTTTTCTATTAAATTTTTTCATCCGTGAGGGCGCCCTCTTCCTATTATTCTCCATGGCTCTGAGATTAGTAAAACCCTACCGTCTCTCACTTCCATTAATTTTTATCTCACTAATAATGCAGGAAAAACTAATGGTTTCAACAAAGCTTTTCACAATGAGTATTCAATTGTTGAATAATTTATACGGAATCGTCATAATCCTCTTCATCTTCTTCGTCGTTTCTCTCTTGCTTTTTGCGTTCTTTTTTATTTTTAGGCATGTATTATGTACTATATAGATATCGAGAATAAGACAGGGTTCTGATTAATTGATTTGATTCATTTTTACTCAGTCCTTTTGTTATTTAATTTAAAATTCGAATATTTTATTGAATTAATTTTATTAGCCGCATTTCTGACTTCTTGGTAATTTAGAACCCAGTCATTTCAAAATAATTTTTCGAAGCAACAGTTTGGAACTCAACCGCGGTTGATATACTGAGCTGTCGGCAGCTGTTCCTTCGTTGGTTAATTTTGCGGATTTTAAATGTCAGTTTTTGGGCGTTTTGGGAGAAAACGTACTGGCGCCCAATTTTTCGTTATAAGATTCGGTCGCCGAGGGCTTCGTATTTTCGGGCCGTTCCGCAGAGGTGCGAAATACGTCACAATATATATACTATTCTATATATTTTTTATTACAGTAAGAAATGAATTTCTCTTATTATTACTGTACATAAAAAATGTACATAAACATCATGTTACATTACTTGATAAGCGAAATGGAGGCTTCAAAAATCGTTACACTGGATTTTTTAAAAGCGGAGTGGAATGGCGGAATTAATGAACTCACTAATCTATTCCTTGTTCAATTCGTCGATCCTGCACTTTGAAAGGGGAAATCGAAATTATCGATTAATTAATTGACTGATTAATTGATTAATGAAGAAAATTGATTGTTGGAAAATTCAATGCTTTAGTAATGAATATTCAGATATTTCCGGAGATTGAAGAAGTGAAATTACGGAAATGCAAGATGATTAGGAATGAATAGAGCAAAATGAATACTTCCGACTTTTTTTGAGATGTTAGTGACTCATTGAAATGTTGGTGAAGTGAGATCATTTTCCCTCTCATGGAAAGTACAATTCTTCTCTTGTATGAGTTCGAACTGAACTCAATGGATGAAATTGTTTCTAAGTTACAATCATTGAAGAAAACAAGTAGGCGACTGCAGCCATGCGACTGTACATATTCTACTGAGTAGGGCGTCTATTCTTTTCTCGCCATCCATATATTGATTGCGGGCTTCCGAATGCGGGCATGAATGAAGTAAGCTCTAATTTAGTTGGACTTAAATAAAAGGAAATAGTACGATTGTGAGATTGGGATACTCGTTATTGAGATATTGAAGAAATGAAGTTCACATACAAAGTTGAATATCTTCGAACCAAATAATCCGTTTGAGTCCATCTTCAATACGATGTGTTGCAATGTTAAGCGGGAGCTTCATGCCCAATTTCAAGTCGATATCTCGATTTTTACTCAAGTTAGAGCGCGAACAAGGATTTCAAGTCAAAAACAGAAAAATCTACATCTCTCAAAAACTTTGTATGAACGGGTATATATATTTTGATTGATTGAGATAGAGGACATTAAGCCGAACATTTTGAAAAAAAAATCATTGAGATCGGTTGACTCGTTATTGAGATATTCAAGACATTAGGTTTACATACAAAGTTGAATATCTCCGAAACTAATTGACCGATTGAGCCCATCTTCCATATAGGTTCTTGCGATGATAAGAGACAGCTTCATGCCAAATTTCAAGTCGATATCTCAATTTTTACTCAAGTTGGAGCGCGAACAAGGATTTCAAGTCAAAAACCGAAAAATCAAAACACCTCAAAAACTTGGTGTGAACGGGTATATATGTTTTGATTGATTTAGATAGAGGACATCATGGCGAATATTTTGAAAAAAAATTATTGAAATCGGTTAAGTATTTTCCGAGATATTTGCGAGAAAAGGTTAACAAGCGAATAGCTATTGCTCAAAAACTAATGGACGGATCAAGCTGAAGTTTGGCATGGAGTTGGTCTCAAGTTATACCAATTAACTGAAAAAATTTCAAACTTTTTGGAATCATTTTTCCCGTTTAATTATCAAATTTACGAAAAAATGACCACCGACTGGACAGTGTCACGCACAGACATGGTCCCAAAACTTCGTATTTTTAAGTTTCAGACCATTCTGCATCATTTCCAAGCAAAATTAGAAAATGTGAAAATCGGACGATTGCAATGCTTCCATTCGGAAGCAAAAACGTGCTTGTTTGCCCCGCCCTCCCCTATACTAAGTTTGTGATAATAGGAATGTGGAATTTTAAATAAAAAATTCAATTGAAAATAATAAAAAATTAAATTGAATATTAAATAGGTTGGATTCAATATTCTGTTATCGGAATAAAATAATAGTGATTTTTATTGTGCATCCTTACCCTTTGAAGTAGTAGGTGCATCTGCACCTATCATTCAGCTTCCAATATAATTATTTCTGGTATTTAATAATGGTAGTCAGGAATTGTGAATAATAAGATAAGAGATAGGAATAAGAATACCAATCATCGTATTGATTGCTTTCAAAGATTTTTAATAATGCAAGAAAGGAAACCCAAGGAGAGAAAGAGAACTCGATCGACTCAAATGAAAGTAAAGAAGAAACAATATTGACTTCGAAATTTTGAGTTTGAATTGATATTTTTGATAACAGCGAAGGCCAAAATGCATAGATAATTCTACGAATTTGGTACGAGCTAATAGTAGGATTAATCAGAAGACAATTTAGAAGATAGTTTTCCAAATGTTGAGTTTGTGAACATATACTTTTAATTTTCACGTTTGTTTCACTTCAATTTCAATTTTTTCATACGTGCACATAAAATGTTTCGCTGCGTTTTCCCCGAGATAGCTATTTCGAAAATAATTGTATAATTAATAAAGATGCTATATTTAAGATTTCTATTATAGGATGCCACTGCAATGCGAATTTCTTTAGAACTCTAAAAATAGACTAGGAAATGAGTCTTGGACAAATTAAAATCTACTCTTCCTATTCATATGTTAATGCTGATGAACTTACGCGAGATTGAAGCGATGCGTCGACAACTTTCCAAGGTCTCGTACGACGTCTCCCGAATTCTCAGTAGAAACATTTCTTTGTTGATATCACTGCAACGATAGTTATGAAAATAACCCTGATGATATTTTTCTGTACATGTATTGTGTATTACGAAAAAACCAGCAGTGGCAATTCAATTTCAAATTATTAGAACAAGATATGTCAAAGTTAAGCACCACCACCAATTTCTACTTTTTATATCTTACAATCTGAGAAAAATGATTTTGTATAGATAACCCTCATGTTATTCCTTCTGCTTCCGAATGGAAGCATTGTATTTGTCAACTCCGAAATTTCCATTTTTCGTCCGAGAATGCTATTTTTAGTGGCCCATCATATTTCGACGATCTTTCTTATACATATATAAAAAGGAGATGTCACACGCTTATTCCTAAATGTCTGAAAGAAAAATCGCAAGCATGATGATGAGGATGATACTGATTTTGTTAATAATGTTGATGTTGTTTATGTCACTGATGGTGATATTGGTATTGATGATTTTCAACGGCGCATGCATTAATTCTCAATTGAAGTTTTCATCTATTTCTACGATTTTTTCAAGGACTTTTAATAGAAGTCCATGAAAATTTCGTAGAAATCGATTTCGAAATTTCCATAGATTTCTATTGAAAATCCTTCGCTTTCTACTGCAAGTGTTCATAGCTTTCGCCGTATCTCATATTGATTATCGATGCAATTTTCATCCGTTTGCAATAAAAAAAAATCATGGATTTTCAGTAGAAGTTTCCATCGCTTCTCGCGAATTTCTCCTTAATAATACTATAGGAATTCGTATACGTAAAAGAACATCATGATTTCAATCAACTAACAATAATCACCTGATGAATCATAAAATCTATCTTTATTTTGATCAAGGCGGAGCGCGCCTTCGATCTCGTAACTGAAAAAATAATAGAGTCCAACTCTCTGTTCCCCCCAGGTGTCGAATAGTAGAGAAACTTTGAACGTCATTTCCCGAAACTTACATTTTAGAAAACGGCACCATCAGTTTCTCGAATACCAGTGAATCGATTTTGCTAAAATTTCGCCGGGTGAAATTTTATACTATTCTCTTGTATATAACGTTCGATTTTTTTTTCGTATGAACGGTCGTTTTTTTACGGCGGAAAGGAGTTCGAACTTTACTCCTGAAATACGTGAAAAAATTCAGTAATTCATATCTTTTGTGAAAATTGTTGATAATTTGTTAGCATGGATTAAAAGTTCAATCAATCTACCTTCTTCAAGTCATCAATAATGATTTTTGTTTCCGGACAAATTAACAAACTCAATCTGATGGCACCGTGGACGGTATTGGCAAAGAACTGACTCTACTGAACACCACTCAATATGCAACAGACTCCGGAAATTCCACTTTTTTCTCTTTTGTAAATATTCTGAAAAACAGGCTCTTCCCAATTGATATATTTAAGGTTGATTAATAAATAACATGAAGAAAAAATTAATAAAAATATCCCTTGCTTGGCGCCCGCCAGGCTCCATGAGAGCATTTTTGATAAGGTTAAAAAATATTCCTAAAGAATACTGTTCATACATTAAATAATTAATCTGTTGAATATCCCATGCATCTTTCTTGTAATATAACGTTTAGAAATTAGTTTTGAATTGTGGAATATTAGGGAAAAGAGGGGGAAATGGGTCGTTTTTTATTCGTTTTTCAAATTCGAAAATAAAAAAATTCAATGATTTCAATGCTTCCATTCAGAAGTGAAAACTATCTGAAACTCATCGACTCCGCCTATGTCGCAACACAAAAAACCTCGCGGTCATTTTTTTCCATGAAAGGAAAGTGAGTGAATTTCTGAATGACTCAGTAGACTAGCCGAATGAAATGACACTACCGCGTGGAGGGAAATAAAACAGGAAGACGAGTAATCATTTACTGCATTCACGATTTTATTGTGTCGCACTGTGTATCGCCTACACACATTACGTAGTAAATTATTGGTCTGTCTGTAATTCCCTTGTGATTTGACCTTTCCCATCAGATCATCCGTATCACTACAGAATGATCCGTTCGAACAATTTCATCATTATTCATTATTTTTAGTTCAATCTGAGTTCCAATTATTGTCTCCGATTTTTTGCTCACAAATGAGCAATTAATTGGCATTATTTGCATAATTATGCTTCTTCTGATTTTATTCGACTTTATTATTTCTTATTTTCTAGTTTCCTAATTTTTTTTTTCTCGTAATTGAGTAGTTGTGAATTGACTAGGATTTCCTCGACGATAATTCAATTTTCAGTTCAAAAACTGAATAATTTATTTCATTGTGCAGAGAATAAATTGACAATAATTGGAACTCCTGACACATGATCAAAAATAGGTAATAATAACTAAATAATAAAAAACAGAATTGGGTATAGTCTAGGGAGAAATGGACTGTGTATTGAGCACCCATTTCTTAAATCTCTCTGTCTAAAAGACATTACATTTAAGGCAAGTAGTTTGTAAATATTAAATTAACATATATAACAAAGATCAATTGGAATAATTTGTTGGTCTCTAAACGATTTGCGATAACGGGCTATAGTTAAATTCATCAAATTATTATTTAATTAAATTTTTTATTTTTCACTCTGAAATATTTTCGAATCGTAGAACTGTGACGTTGCATTTTTCTATCATTTTCTCAAATTTGAATTCGGGTTTGGTTCAGATTTCTTGGTGCGGAGAATACACCCAGAAAAATGATGAATTTCAATCGAGTAAAACACATTATTTGTAATCTTTCTATTCATCTCAACAATATTTTCATTGCAAATTAATGAACTCAAGAATTTATTTCCATGAGAAGTTTACATTACATGTTAATATATTCGTTTTCTTCGCTGTCTCATCAATAATTCAATTTCTAATTAATGAAGTCTTTGTTTGGGTCAAGGAAGTTGTTGTTTATATCTGAAAAACTATTCGTTCAACGTAAATAAAACCGCAGATAAAAATCAAGTTTAAATTTTAATAAAAACTTTATTACGAGGTATTTGAATAAATTCATTCATTTGGTTTAAATCAAGTTCACTCGATTCAGATTAATAATTATTCTGGGCGAATCAATTGTTTCTCGAATCAAGTATAAAAATGTTTTTCACTGATAAATAATAAAATTTCTTGAATTATTACAACTGAGGAAATTAATTTATTCATAAACTAGGGAAATTTGATGAGAGAGAAACGAAATGAGGAATTCTCTCGTAAATTTCTTCCAACGGAAAGAATTTATCGAAAAATACTCTAAAACCTTTTTCGTGGAAAATCGAATTTCAAACGAAAAATACATTTGGATATTTTTCTTTAAACCTACTATTTTCGAAAAACAAATAGAATAAAATATAATGACATTTTCAATCGAGAAAACAGTGTAAAAAGATTGAAGTGAGAACAAAAATTCAAGTTTTAGATTTATAGTGAATTCTCCGTGTTTTTGGGTCAATTTTCAATCACGTCACAGCTTCTACGTCTCTTCAAACTAATTTTTAAGAATTAACTATCCATTAATTGGATTAATAAGCACCTTAAAGAGATGGATTTATGGTCACTTGATAATGACGGGTGTCTATTGTTTTTAAGAAGATTCCTTGTATTTTTACAGGATTAATTGAATGTAAACTCCATAAATAATCACGAAACCTTCCAAATTTCCCAGAAAATTGAAACTATAATCTCTTTTTGATTTCAGAAACGTCCCAAACTCCCAAAATTAGAAAACTGTCATCTTTGTTATTCAAACAAACAGACATTGCTCACAATAGCAATAAAATATTCATCATCCCTCTCATTATCTCCTCGTTATCGCAGTAATCGCCGAAACAAAAATTTACATAGTGCTGATGTCACTCCAAAAGTACCAATTGATTAAACAATACATATAACATAACATTCGCTCAAGTGATTGCATGAAAAAAATATTGAATTGTGTTCAAAGTCAGACAATTAGAGCAGTGAATCACGAATAATTACACTGATGGAAATAAAATAATCAATTGAGTGGTGGAAAGAGACGATTGTGAAACAAACGTTCACGTAATTTCGAAAATTTTCTGCAAACTAATAAATTTAGAGAGTACTACATTGTAATCAGACATTTCTCTTCAAATTTATTAGCTTCAAAGATATCTGCGCTCTGATTCATCTCATTCTACCTCTCCCCTATATAGATAATGTGTTTAACACAAATCCTAATGATAAATGAAAAAAAAAAAAGAAACGACACGTAAGATAATGGTTACATTACACCGCTCGTCAAAACGTATTTAATCATATTGATTCGTCATATCAATCAATACAACATTACTTAAACCTTTTACATTTGTCAGTCTCTACCCCAGAGCTTGTCCACGATTATCATCAGTTCTGTCATTGTATTCCCAAGATAGTCATCATTTCTAATTCATTAAATTTTCTCGACAATAATTATGCATAATTAGCTTCATATCCCAACTTTCCTCAATTTTCTTAATCGTATTTTCCCTCATTCTATTTATTTATCCATTTTTTATTTCAATAAATTTTTTCATCCTGTGGAAACGTTACTTCAGACATTAATCAACGTCATTATAATAATTTTAATTCACTTTCGTAGAACCGTGGACGCGCAAGAGGACCAGACACTCACAATTTATGTCACAAATTAATTTTTATCCTTTAAATTCTCAATCATATATTATCACAGTCAATCGCCTTCACGTATTCTTTTTTTTAGATTTATTTCTTACCAGCCCCTTCCCCTCCCTCACCCTCCCCTCACCCACCAAATAATGTGTCAATGTCAATCAAAAGTACTGATTGATTCTGGGAGAAGTATTGTAGAATTGATTCCTCTATGGATTTACAACTTTTTCGTAATTTTTGTTCTTTTCTGGACTAGTAGGAACGATCAGGTAAGCGGGGGAATCGTTTTTTCCTATTTTCGTTTGAAATGTTCATTGAATTCAAAAACAATAATTTGGTCATGCGTATTAAAAAAAAAAGAAGAGAAAAAAAAGAAAAAACAATAATTTCATAGTTTTTCTGTAGTACAAATGTCAGAGATGATTCTTTTAGGGAGATTATCTTATCCTAGACAGTTTGATTAATTTTTAGCTTCGGATTTCGATCAATTTTTTCAATTTTCAATAACAAAAAAATAACAAAAAACGATTAATCCAAGTGATAAATTTACCTCGAAAAGTCATTAAAATGTAGTAAATTGTCGGTAAGAAATTTTTACTCAGACTACTTGTTAATTTATGCATTTGTTCATAAAAAAAAATGAAATAATCAATTTCAAAGCACTAATTCGATTATTAATAACAAATGAATGTAAATAATTCAAATAATGAAGAAAAAAAATTATTCACCAGTTAATTTATGGATATCTGCTTTTAATCTCGACTAGCTGTCAATTTTTCTACCTGCATATGAAAAAAAAAATCTTAAATTACTTTTTATTCTTTCTCCTCCATAAAAAGAAAAATAAACAGAACGTTAATTGCTAGGTGCACTCTGACTAGTTGTAAAAACCTAAGAAATGGACATTGCAGTCGACAAAAATACTCTCCCCCGAATAATTTCCCCCACTTACTCTCAATAAACAATTAATTCTTATGCCTTTAAAGTTGAATTATGTCTTGGTTCTGCGAAGCAACCTAATTACCTAGGTTTACCTTCATGTTTTTTTTAAAATTGTCTTATACTCTTTTTTTCTCATTAGCCTACGTCGTTCCCATCAGGAACCCTAGGTCCTAACGACTCCTAGGAGGTACCACAGAGCGACTGATTCCCCAAAGCCCACCATTTGTTTACGTAACTTGAATTGGGCATGAGCTTTATCGTTATTTCAGTTTCTCCAATCACTCTGTGGGGAATTCCCCTTGGTAAGAACGCGGGTATTATCACGTACGTAATTATGGTTATTATTATTTCATTGTGATAGAATAATAAATGAGGCGTTTCATACGCTAGCGAGGTGAAGGGAACTCTTAGGATTAACATTTTGAATTTTTACGATATCTGAGGACCACTTTGAGGGCTAACTTGGGGCATCCTCGGGCTCTTCTCTGCCACCTGCTCTCTGATGGTGATCACTGTCCTGGCTCATTGTCACGAATTGTTGGGACAATGTTTGCAAACTTTGTCGAACCTGAAAAATCACATTACTCATTATTTTTATTTGAATTTCTAGATTTTTCTTCATTTCGTATTCTCTTATTGTCTTAAGGATATTCAACTACGACTTGTAAACTATTTGGAAATATCTAATATCTCCAAAAGGAAGAGACATTTTTCTGCGAAATCTCTTCTTATCGAAATATTTTGATTTTCAACTTTACGATTAGTTTTTTTTATACAAAAGTCCAATATTCATTCTTACTGCATTACTCTTATTCATTTTTACTAGTGTATTATTGCTAAAAATTTTCCTATTTTTGAACGGAAGAATAAATTTTGAATTGCAGTTGGGCTTAAAAATTATCGAGAATAATTGGAAAAATAATTGAATAGCTAGTAAAATTTACCTTGACAATCTGAGCAAGATTTGTGTTGAGATACTGCAGCAATCGATCCTGCGTAAATTTTTCAGGAGACGCCAGGGGATGATTCAGATAAGCATTGTGAAGCTTATCAATTCTGACCATCATGAGAGCAGCTGAGATATAGAGTGCTGCCAGTAGTGCAATCAAAATCGCTATCATCGTGCTGGGTCTCAGTTGATACCTCAGCATAGATCTCAATATTCCTACTTTAACTGGTGATACTGTTGCTTGAGTTATCAGATCCAATCTGAAAATGAAAAACGAATTGACTGAATTGTACATTTACATGAATAGTTCAATTCTTTATATAAAAAAACAAAATTAGCTGTGTAGGATTCGAATTTCAAAAAACTAACTCATAATTGTTATTATACATATTTTCTCAAAAAAGTTCTCAAAAAACCTCGGTAGCTCAAAAATTGAAGGCCCTGGACTTTTTTAAACATTTTACGGGTCTATGGGTTAAACGAACAATAAACAATTATTTTTTTGCACTAATTATTCGTTTTTAGACACATAATCGATCTTCAATGTATGAAAAATCTCCACTCCAATAGCCCGCGACTTTTAAAACCCATATTAGTTTCCCCTAATGGCTAATGGTCATCATTATCAACTCGCTCCACTCACCAATCCCAATATGACCCTCATATGTTCTCCATAATCCTTATTCTGACCCTTATGACCTTTATTCTGACCCTGATTTTGACCTTAATAATCCTTATTTGTACCCTTAGTGGGACCCTTGTGACCCTTAATATGATCCTTGTCACCCTTATTTAAACCCTTAATCTGACCCTTGTTAACCTTATTTGAACCTTTTTTTAAAATTACCTTTAATTTGACCCACATGATCCTCAATCTGACTTCTGTGACCCTTATTTGGTCCATTATTCTGACCCTCATGACCCTTGACCCTCATGATCTTACCCATGTGACCTTTAATCTAACCCTCGTGACTCTTAATCTGACCTTCATGCCCCTTATTCTGAGCCTCATAAACCTTATTTTGACCCTTGTGATCCTTATTTACGCCCTCATGACTCTTATTTTAACCCTTGTGACCGTTAATCTAACCGTCGTGATCCTTATTCCGATCCTCATGACCCTTATTCTGATCCTCATGGCCCTTTTCTGACCCTTACGCTCTTTATTTTCACCCTTGTGACCTTTAACTTTGGATTCTAAATTTTGAGTACCAAATTTACATTATCAGAAGTCGATTAGGATTTCTATAATATAGAAAGAAGCAAGACAATAAACTGAAACAACACATTTTTTACAGAGCATTGACAGAATTCGATTTGGCAACAATTTGCTTGCAAGTTATTTGTGATCATCATTTGTAGTTAGAAAATTTGTGCGTCACATAATCGTAATTTTTTAGTCATATGATGCCATCTCGACATTTCCCTCCAACACGCCCACTCCCAGCATCAAAATCCCCAGGCAACTTACTTTGGTGGTGACGAAATTGGCCTAGGAATGGCCGTGGGTGTAATTCCATCAGTATCATCAGTGCAAACAGTTGTTGGCCTGGAGTTGAGATCAGTCCCACTCTCCGACATGCTGGAGTCGTCCTCCTCAGGGTTGACCTCGGAATCATCGACCAGCAATGTGTCCGGTGTCAGTAATTTCGCCTCGACTGGTAATGGCTCGTCAGGTGGCTGATTCCCCTCGACAGCAGCGTCCCACACCTGCTTCATCAGCTTGAATGTGGAATCCCTCGACAACAAGGAACAGAACACGTGTCTCTCCTCATCAGTTGCTATTGCTATTGCATTGGGGATGATTCTCGCTGTTTTCTCTTTACTTATCTTACGTACTGATACTGTTGGAATTAATAACTTTGTGACGTAACCGAAGACGTTACTGTAGAAGGCGAAGTAGTTCGGTGTTATGTACAGGTGTCCCTGGAGAAGGATGTCGCCTACTAGGGCGCAGCTGTAGTAGTTCAGGACTCGCTCATCCGGGGCTACCTGGTCATGAAATTTCGAGGACTATCCATTAGGTTGATACTGATCTTTTGGATTCGGTTGGCTGGGGGACATGGATTTTTACATTTGTCCTTCCAAAGTCATGTTTTTGAGAATTTTAGGTCCTGGATTTTGTAATCGTGAAGCTGAGAGATCTTAGCAGCCATTACGCTCAAAGAAAATAAAATTATATTCTACTCTGGGAACATAGAAATTCTGAAGGGGAGGTTGGTTCACCTCAGGAAAAAAACTTTTGTTTTTCGAGAAAAAAAACGTCAAAAACATTATTTTCTGCGTGATTTTTGTTCAGAAATCCTACTTTGTAAGTCAAAGTCGGCTCCGACAGCTAAAAATTAGAGATTCTAATTTTTTCTATCATTTCGAAAAAAAATATGTCGCATTTTTCATAATCAAGGAGCGAAACTTTCAGATCATATTCAAAAAACTTTTTTTATTTTAGGATTTTTGTTAGGTTGAGTTTTTAAAACATGAATTTCATTAGTAGTTCAGGACTAGCTCATTCGGGGCTACTCATGAAATTTCGAGGACTATCCATTAGGTTTATAATGATCTTTTGAATTCGTTTGGCTGAGGGACATGGATTTTTACATTTTTTTTCCCAAAGTCACGCTTTTTAGAATTTTAGGTCCTGGATTTTGTAGTTGTGAAGCTGAGAAATCTTAGCACCCATTACGCGGAAAGAAAATAAAATAATTTTTTACTGTGAGAGCATAGTAATTTTCAAATTTGTCTTCGACAGCTGAAAATTAGTAATTTTAATTTTTTCTAATCGAAAAATCAAACTTTTGAAAATGTTTTTTTCATCCACGCATTTTATACTGCTTTGCCCGTTAAAAATTACTATGTTAAATCATAGTAATAAATCAATCATCAAAGTTTAAAGTGATATGATACTTAATATTGCTCTTTACGTTGACAAAATTATCGGTTTGTTTGCTGCAGTTAATGCTGCGATTTAATTTGCTATATTGCTCAAATTATCGCACATAATGTCGCTAAAATCATAGGATCAGATGTTGTCATTATTGTTATGACATTGCAAGTTTCAATAACTACTATGATGTTATTGGCTAAATAATTGAAAAATTCTAACGCTCATTATTCAAAAGTTTACTATCATAATTTCATATTTCTTGTGCTATCGAATTTCTGATTTTTCATTCTATATCTTTTAACGATTAATAAACAAGTTGCTAACGTGACCCTACATTTTTCTGCGTTTCAAATAAACACTTTCTGTAGGAAATTTAATTAGCTACAAAGGTTTAGTGACATTTTCTCTTAGAGTCACTCATTATCGAGATAAACGCATAATTACAAAAATGTTTTCTCATTCGATTATTAACTTAATCTTCCACTTGTTTATTTTTCGTTAGGATAAATGATCAGATCTTAAAACCAATGACGAGCCAATTCCTCAGACTTTTGGAAGCACAGTATGAAGTAGACAACTGCAAAAAAAAATATTTTATTACCTGTGTGAAATGGCGGTGAAACTTTTTCTGTCTTGCACTGCTGGTGGATGTGGGTGATCTCGTGGATGATTTGGCGGTTACAGCTGGGGCTTGCGAGCCTCCAGTCATCGACGGAGTGCTCCTGCTCAGGGGTTTGCATAATTGGCTGTGAACAAACACCAGAAGCTCCACTTACTAAATGAAAATTCAAGAAGTATGTTATTCTGACACTTCTGTAAACTCAACAACTCAAATTCCACGTCTTCAGAATTGTAGATTATCGCGGATACGAGTGTCAAAATGTCAAAAAACCTTTTTTGTAGCCCTTGAAATTCTCTACAAAAAAGATTTACTGAAATTTTCTCTTAAAATCACCCGCTCTCAAGATAATTTGACTTTTAACTCGAGATGTGAAGAATGGGAACAAAAATAATTACAACATTTTCGTTTTCCGCATTGTTTGAACTAAACTCCCACCATAAATCATCAACTTCATCTCTTATTTCACTCGGAGATAATCAAGAAGTTTGAGGTATTTAATTGGGAATTCTTTTTTAAATTCTTTGAGATTTACCAAGTATTCGATCGATGATTGAGTCGTACACTCCACAACTCATTGCTCCACACATCGACATTGATCTTGGGAGGAATTACTCTCTCGTGGTGTATCATGTCGGACACCTGAAGGGATCAACTGATGAATAAAACGCGGTCGCCATTGATAAACAGACATTATCACGGACAGAGGTGGTTGGGACGATCGGATACTATCAGGTCTATCAGACAGCTCAGATAAATTTATTTGATAATCTAATAATGGAATGATAAAAACCAGGGAGAGTCATCGGTTATGGAGTGTGGAATTTGGCGTTATTGGAGTTCGGAATATCCCGAGTGAGTCAGCGCTGATGTCATCAATTTTTGTTATCAAATTTCATTGAAAAAGCGTGATTACTAACGAGCACTGATTAACAATTGAAATTCAATGATAAATGTTTTTGGCTAAAATTTCCGGGTAATTTCCGGAATTCGTTTAAATTTTGAACAAGTGACAGTTCCACCGAAATTTTTTGAAATTGCGTCAATGAAAATTCACAAGTTGACGAAAAATTCGATGAAAACTGTAAATTTTTGGTTCATTATTCCAAGAAAATCGATATAAATCAGGAAAATTGTGATTAAAAATTCAAGTATATTAGGAAATTCTCGCCTTCCTGCTGCCTGCTGCTCATCAATTCGGAATTTCATTGATTTTTCAGTAATGCGCGTGAAGTTTGAGTAACCGCGGTGAAATTTTTATTTGTTAGATTAATTTATACTATGTTGTTTTATTTTATTTTATTTCCATTTCCGTCCTCACAATTAGATTAATTTAATTTTAGTCATTCATAGTGTTATCATATATATTTTTGTTCCTTAATTCACAAGTTACAACATTGAATGAAGAGGAATTCCCCATAAAGCACGTGAAAATATAGACTGACAAACAATTTTCGATAATCATACCTAAAATATTTCATTTCGTTCTTTTTCTTTAAATTAATCAGTACCAATGATCTGAAAATGTGAACGAATATGAACATTTTACATCCTTTTGATCTCATTTCAATGGAAGTGAAGAGGGGAATTGCAAAGAGAGATCGATCATCATCAATCAGTATCAATAAAATGAAAAAATCTATTTTTCTATGTCTCTTCGAAATTTTTCAAATTGTTTTTTTCTTCTTAAAAAATGAAGGGAGATTAACATTTTTTATTTTTGTGATCGTATTCCGTTCACAGAAACAGGAAATACGGAAAATGTAGGGAAGGAAAATCAGAAATAAATTTTAAAAAGAGATTTTTCAATCTTAAAATTTCAAAATGTTTTTTTTTTAATAATGAAGAAAAACCAATGTATTTTCTTTCTATTATCCAATTCTGATGGAAGAAAGTGAAGAGGAAGAGAAACGAGATCAACATGAAAACAGAATTTTTTATTTTTCAATGTCTGCGAAAGATTTTAAAAATGATATATTTTTTCGAATAATGAACCATAAATTCACTTCCTATCCTCACATTTTCATAGAATACATTAAAAAATGGCAAAGAATTCGAATCGGCGATGAAAATTTGTGACACTCTAAATCTCACGGTTTCATTGTCGAGCGGGAGTTTCGCAAGAGACGACTGTACCTGGGCAGGTTTTTCCCTCAAATGAGGTTTTCCCTTGTCCTTCGGCGAATGCGGTACAGGGGGTTGGGGGTGGGAAGGGAACAAATCGTAAAGACCCGAAAGGGTATATGAGAAGAAAAAAAAAATATGGAGGTTGTTGAGTAATGTTTGTGGGATTATTTCAGTTCACTTTCGTGAATGATTAGAGACTTTTTAATTACCTGTCGTTGCATTTCGGTAATGCTGTGTGGCTGGGACTTCGCGGAGGCGCTGTGTGACTCGTTGCAACTGTCAGCTGGGAACCACTTGGAGATGACTGCTGAAAATGTTTGTCTTGAGCTGAATGCTGGGTGCTTCCTACAGCCTGGAGGGGGGTACTGGGTGCAGAACGAGCTCCTATAGATCCAGTAGACCTACGACAAAAATAAAACACCACCGTTTAATTTATAATTACATTGTAAAGGTACGTTAAATGAAAGTATGCAGGATGTCTCGCGTAATAACGGAGAGAAGAAAATTTTCTATTTTCTAGTAAAAATCTCTGACTTGGATAATTATAAAATGGATGATTTCCAGTAATGTTTAGTTGAATCTAGTATAATTGTACTTATGTTGAAGCTTATTATCTCTTTTTTAGGGAATTCGTTACATCTAAAACTTGACGTTTGTATTGGGATTAGCGATAAGCGATTCAGTTTTATCTAACAATCGTCTAAGTAAAGCGGAAATCGTTTCACATAGTCGAAAAATGATTGTTAAATAAAATCAAATTTCGAGTGTTTATTTAGTGCATCATAAACGTTAGAATCTTGTTTTTTTCGGGTTGAGTAGATAACGAGACTATTCACTTTGTCTCTTTCAACAAAATTGCGTTTCTAGATAAATAATCCACGTGTAGATTAATCGCAGGTATTTAATTATCAACACTTCAGCGAGTATTTTTTTCCATGAGATTATTCGTTCTACAGCATGAACGAAAAAATAAATAAATAATTGGATAATTTTTCAATATCAATCGTTTAAAAAAAAGAATGTTCAAATCTGGAAAAACTACTGCATAATCCGTAAAAAATTCCGCATAAAGAAAATTCCAATGAAGTTATAATTTTAAAAAACAGAAGCAAAAAAAATTAAATCAGGTGAAATTAATTTTGAAAAAATTAATAAAATGATTTCAAAAGTATAATCGCGTAATAAAATTTCAAAATTCTAAATTCTTACGGGAATATCGTAAAAAATTGTCCGATCCAGAGACAAATATCACACGGAAACAAATAGAACACTTTTGTCGGAAAATTTTCTCCTCTCCAACAATTGCAAATTTTCGTCCGAATTTTCCGTGCCAAATTCCGAAAATTTTTATCTTGTTCAAGTTCCACTGAAATTTCAGGAAATCTTGTCATTACAAAATCAAATATTCCATCGATTTTTAATTCAAATGATCCGGAAATCAATAAAATAATCGATGTTTCAGTTCAATTATTTGGTGAAAATGCAGAAAAATTAGGAAAATTCCGGGGAAAATTGAAAATTTATGTCATTTTGTTTTCAGATATACATGTTCCACTGAAAATTCAGTGAAGTTGTAAAATTTCCATCTTACTCCCACTAAAAACTCATGAATTTCCGTGAATTCTGCTTAAAACCTGAAATTTCATAACCATTTTTTCCCTAAATTCGATTCAATGTCACTTTCATGAGATTTACCATAAAATCTTCCATGAAATTCCAAAAAAAATCTGACAGTAAAATACACGGAAGGAAATGATTTAGAAAAATTCTAGTGCTGTTAAGGTGAAATTTCTAGGGATTTCTGATGCAATTTCTAGTGATTTCTGTAATTATTTTTCCCAATCCCCAATGGTTATTTTTGGAGATACGTCATTTTATTCCTGGAAATGACCGTTTTTGGTAGTTACGTGACTCTCTTACTAAGCTGTCGATATAATAAATTATCAAAGATGAATTTTTTTTTATTTGGGCATTTTAAATTTATTTATCCTTGTCACACTCAACGACTCACGTGAAGTTTAGATATACTACTTCAAAACTCTCCAGATTAGAAAATTCAAAAATCTTAAGTAAGTTTCCATAGTTTATGAAAGTCCATACAAAACAAACTCTGACCGTTCTCTCTATACCCTAATTACCGCCGAAAACAATTCCCTAATGGCAGACTGCGTGTCTGACCCAACGGGCTTTTACCACTTCTCCGGAAAATTAATCAATTTCTTAATGACCGTTGATAATAAAATGATGGATCTACCTAGTTCGAGTGATAGGTCCAGTGGAAAAACACAATTGAATCAGCGCTCTCGTCTCAAAATCCATTGATAAATAAAACAACTGCCTTCAACTCATAACTATTTTAAAATCCGCCAGTTAATTTTTTTCATCAACGAGGCTTTTTGAATAGTTTATCTGGCTGTCTTTTTATGTGAAAAATTTTGAATTCAATAGAAGCCACGCTGGTATCTGTGCTTCTTGAACATCACCCGCTTCGAGTGCCTCCACTTGGAGCCGACGCTCTTGAGGGCGAGTCTTGCCAGGAAGAGGATGCTCATCTTCTTTTATTCAAATTGACTTTTCCGATTTTTTATTCAGCGGTTCAAGGCAGTGACCTTGAACTATTCCCACCTCGGGTGAGCGAAATCACTGTTACATATTATTCACTGATAATTAACAGGAAAAAAAATCACGAAAAATTATTCTCCAATGAAACAATAAATTATTTAATAAATTAGATGAATTAATTATCGATTATGTAAAATAATTTTAATCAATTTACATGTGGAATATTCATAAAATATTTCACTGAAATTAATGCATTGGATAAATTTTTGGAAACAGTTATCGAAATAATGAAGATATTTGAAGAAAATTATTGATTTCAAGTTCAGTTTAGAAGAAATTCATTAATTACGGAATTTTTATATTTTGATCTAATTAAAAAATTAATTGATTAATTAATTAGTGGTGAAAGTTGTGGGTGCTAGACGATTTCCACGGGCCAGCCGGGATAGAACTGAGTGGCTAGTTGGTAGCCACGGAGCGTTGGTCATGTAACTTCTCGGCAACCCCCACGTGAACGCCTACCACTGGGTAACACCCACGACCTTCATTTCTGACTCCTAAATCCTTAATAAATTCTATGACCACCGACTAACACTCTCGTGAGAAGGTGCACGTATCAGGAACTCAGTGGTTAGCATCGATCGACCTATTTCTAACGATCAGAAAAGCTTGGTAATTAATTTATCAATGATTAATTTCCATTAGGGACTTGGGTAGTGCGAGTTGTGGCTCAATGGTCTACCGGAGGCCTGGCCAGACGGCTAACGCGATGGGGTCGGGTGGATGAAAGGGCTGATTATGTCGTGGGTCGCAGTTCAATTCGGGGGCTAATTAATTAATATCAATAATATAAATATTATTATAATATTATATAATATTATATAATATTAATATTAATATTGATATCAATATTAATATCAAGATTATTATTGGTCAATTCAATTATTTAGTCTTTCAACAAAAATTTTCTGGTTATTCACATTGAAAAAAAACAGGCCCGGTCGCGCGCTTCGCGCGCTCCCTCTTTAGGGTATGACCGGTAGGGGTTGGTGGAATTGGATGTGACCCATTACGGGTCGCACCAATAACTTCCCGACCATTTGTTTTTTCTTTCATTAATTTTTTTATTTATGTATTTATTCAATCTTTTTCTCACATTTCTCCGAGGAAATACCCATAGAAGACAAGAAAATCCGTGCGCGTGCTCGCACTCACACACACTCCCATGCACACACATCGCCGTATTCCGCATCGAGAAAAGATGTAATTTATCAGAAAAGTAAAATTGTTTCTTGAATGTATATCGATTTCGAAAAAAGCTAGTGAACTGCTGATTAAATGTCTTCCAGTATTCCATGATTTGTGCGTTATATCAAGATTCATCGTTTCTAACAAAAAAAACTTGAAATCGCATCGTTATGCACGGAGAAATGGTCTCGTTTACAAAAAAACGCTAATTTTCGACTTTTTTCCAAATGTTTTTTGGAAAAAACTGGAGAAACGCTGAGACGATCGTCTCCATAATCTAATCAGGTTCAAGTCACATGAAAATACAGCGATTAAAAAAAAAAAAGTCAAATCGCATCGTTTGTTCAGGAGGAATCGTGGCACAAAATTTTTGTCACAGACGTACGCACACACATACACACATCCACACATACAGACAGGTACCTGAAAAGGGTCAGAAGTGGTTCCAAAGGTCATAAAACGTGGAGAAATGCTTAAATTTCCACATTCGATTTTCGGGGTCATTACAATAACTTCCTCCCTTCGAGTCGGGAAGTTAATAATTCCGGCTCCCCTCCTACCTCATCAAATCCCATCCAATCATTTCCTATGACGTCACAAAGATGTGGAATGCTATATAAATTCCCTTCTTTAATGTAAAAACATTATATATATAATCAATTAATTATTGGTCAATGCACCCCGGGGAAGGGCGAGTAAAAGGGTAAAGGGTAATTGGAGGATCGCGGTTTAATTCGCAGGTCAATTAATTAATTCGGAGTTTTCTTGATTAAAACGAACTCTATCATCGGCTAACCCATTTGCTAGGGCGATTGAAAACTTTCCAAGCACGATTTAGAGATCTAGAAATCATCGGGGGCATCATCAATTTGAAAAATCCTGATTTGGGGAAATTTTTAGATGGTACACGCAAAATACTCTGCGTACGATTGAAGAATGCATTGAGACAACAGAGAAGTTTAAAAGTGAATGTCGTGTTATCGTGTGAATATGAAATACAGAAGCATCATCGCCCGAGTGGAAATTGCTTCAGGCCCACCTGAAGCTCGATCAGAACTTGATCAGGTTTTTGTAAGGTTCGGCCGATCCGGTGATTCCTGATGAGAATCTGACCAAGTTCTGATCCAGCAGATCGGATTCGAAAAACTACAGGCGGGTTCAGATCAAGTCCTGATCAGGTAGACAGAATCAGATGATGCTTGATGAGAACCTGACCAAATTTTGATCCAGTAGATCGGATCCGAAAAACTGCAAGATGATTCAGATCAAGTTCTGATCAGGTAGGCACGATGTCACCCGGAGGTCGGCTACCTGACCCCAATTTAATCAAATTCGGATTTGATGTCTTTGATCGGCATTTGAACGGGGTCAATTGAAGAGAAAATGATCAGATTCAGATCCGGTCCACCTGTCATCAATTTTAATAAGTTTTTCGGATACTTTAATTAACTAGTATTTTACTATTCAAATCAAGTTTTATCAACCATTATCAATAATTATTTTCAATCTTTAAAAAGGATCATTATACTATAATTAAAATAAATTAAATTAAATTAATTTAATTTAATGAATTTCATTTAATTAATCAATT